CTGCACGTTGTTATTCTCCTCGTTATTTACCTATAGCGGCTAATGAACCGGAAGTCTCACCCATTGGCTTACTTCCGCGTTGAAGAAAAAGGTGGATATGTGCCAGAAATTGTAAGAATAGTACGTATGGCATGCAGGAGAAAAATAGTAGGCTAAATCCTGCACACGATTTATAAATCAAGAGAACGAATTAGTAAATTGTGCGCACGATTTAGCAAATCGAGGGAACGAAATAGTAATCATGTGCACGTTTTAGTACATCGAGGGAACGAGTTAGTAAATCGTGCCCACAAATTATTTATTTTTTCTTGCATGTCATGTGCGGGGCTCCGTAGAATAGTATGGCAGGGTGCCGTTCCAAATTTGCAATGCAGTATACAACCCGAGTACACCGAATGATGTATCCCACAATGCATCATGCTTGACTTCACCGTCCATTTCCGTGACAGATTAAATCTGATTTTTAAACGTCTTTTTGAATGAGTATTTACTCAGACTTCCAAAAGTCACATTTTAACTCTTAACTTTTTTTTTTTTTAACAATTTATATCCGAGATGAAATCTGGACTTTGCCGAATTAAACGCATGGTGAGGTCATGTGAAAATGTAGTACACTACATGAAATGTTACAGCATACTGTGTAGTATGCGGTAGGATAGCTTTCCATTCCACACACTGCTCAGGTCTTCGCTGACATCCGTCTCCTATATGTTGTAAGCAGAGATGTAGGGCACTGAAGTATGTAGTATGCAGTAGCACAGAGGCCAGCAGAGGCCGCTGCCGCTCTTGTTGTGAAGTTCATGTTCAGAACAATGAGTCGAGGGAAAATACAGTGTACACCTTTGCAGTGTACATGTCTGCTGGTCACTGGTGCATTTTGAAGGGATAGTTCACCCAAAAAAGACGGTTAATTTTTGAAACACAAATGAAGATATTTTTAATGAAATCTGAGCGGTTTTCTTCCTTACACTGAAAGTCAAGGTAACCAAAACTGAAGAGATCAACAAAAAAAAAGGCGTCATAAAGCTATCAAGCGTTTTAATCCAAATCTTCTTTAGAGATATGGCCATTTGATATGAACTGCAAATGTTTGTACTTTTATTCACATCTAAACAGTGATCGACACATACATAGAGCACATCAAATATGGTAAACATGGAAGCTTGTTTTACAACGACTTACAACTTTTACAAGTTTTGGTTACCTGAAATTGTAAATGGAAGGACAGAAACTGCTCAGGTTTATTACAAATCCTGCGTTTCAAACTAAACGAAATGGGTTTGGAATGACACGAGGGGAAGAAAACAACAGTTTTTTAATTTTGGGTGAACTATCCCTTTAAATGCAGTGTGCTTCTGGCTCAAACAATGGCATGACTTCAGGGCAAAAACTAGCTGTAATAATCTGTTTCGCAGGGCACTGACAAGCTTTTCTGAAGGTGGCGAGTGCTTGTAGAACCTGCTTGGAAAAAATAATTTCTTGAATTTGATTTGGTGCAATTAGAGGAGCATAAATGTCACACTTCTGCTTTAAATTAAGAGCGCTAATGTACAGTTGCAGCTACAGAGATTCAGGAGTCTGAGTCCTGGGGTGTCTTTTGTGGTCTTGCTGCACAGTGTTGCAGGTTGGGTCCAGGAACTCTCTTTCAGGGTTTGAAAGGTGGAGCGCACAATTATAAAACCGTCACATGTTCAGCACACTGAGCCGCCCCTCTGATGGCTGCCGTCAAATATGAGTAGAGACAGATTGAGTCACGGCACAGCATTAACTGCCAAAGCAATTCCCTTCTTTTGGTCGTTTACAAAAATACCACTAAGATTGTCTAAATGTAGTTGTGATGAGTTCGTGTAGCACATTGCCGATGAAAGCTGCCATCTACACATGCAGAATGTAATTAAGAGCAAATTCAGTCCATCTAAACCAAGAAGTTGAGGGAATTTCACTAAAAGCGTAAAACGTTGTTGTTGAGAAGCGACTTCTTAAGGCAAGGACAGGAACAGGAAGCACGACCGGCTTCATGTGGACAGCTCTACAGCTCTCACTTTTGCCCTGACAACAGCACTGTCTCTCTGTTACTATGGAGAGGGAGACTATGGAGGCAGAGCCTGCCGAAGTGAAGAGGAGAGAGTGTTTGTTGTTGTTTTTTCTCAGTCCGTTTCTGGAGATAAAATCCAAATCTAGAGGGAAGTCCCAGGCTGCTCCTGTTCTGCATAGTAAGCATCTGCAGTCAGCAGTGAAGGCGTCATCAGCACAGGTATCTGGATCTACCACAGCTCAGGGTTTTCTAGTTTGAGGAAGCCAGGGTCCTTGCGCAGTTCCCAGTACGTGTTGTTAGACACCCATCTCTCCCTCTGGTTACTGTCCATAACCTTCCTGTTACACAGAGGAAGCACAGGTTAAACTTACATTTGGTTAAGTCTCAAATGTGACCCTGGACTGCAAAACCAGTAATAAAGGTCAACATTTTTGAAATTGAGATTTATACATGAATAAGCTGAATAAATAACCTTTCCACTTATGTATGGTTTGTTAGGATAGGACAATATTTGGCTGCGATACAACTATTTGAAAATCTGGAATCTGAGGGTGCAAAAAAAATCTAAATATTGAGAAAATCATTTTTAAAGTTGTCCAAATGAAGTTCTTAGCAATGCACATTACTAATCAAAAATTAAGTTTTTATATATTTACAGTAGGAAATTTACAAAATATCTTCATGAAACATGATCTTTACTTAATATCCTAATGTTTTTTTGGAACTTAGGCTATTAATTGTAGGCCTAGCTGATCTAAACGCATGCACCTCTGAGGTGAATTAGCTCACATGAATGAGGCCTAGAGTAAACATGGTTGTAAAAAGAAATAAAAAACCTTTGATAATTTGATAACTTTTAAGAAAAGTTGATTTAAAAAAAGTTTGAATCCAATATTTGGTAATAATATAGCATAAGACATAAGCTAATTTTTGTAGTCTGGTCATTTTTGACAGCACAAGTGTAACAAGGTGGGAAAAAAAGTCCCAAAAAAGTTGGGTTGGGTTGTTATTATACCCTGTGTGAGCACAGACAGTAGGTTTTAGTCTAATGCGATAACCATAACTAGCGTTTTCAGGAAAAATAAAATCCCCTCTGGGTCAAAATGACCGGAACACAACAAAATGCATTAAAAGTGGTTAAAAGCATCTTTTTCTATGCCATGTAGCACAAATAAAAAATTTTTTAAAAATCCACATTTCTACTGAATAGACAGGCTTTAAAAAAACATGGCTATCTTGACAGAAATAAGTTTATCTTTAGAATAATCTTAAGAACAAAAAAACTAAACAAAAAAAACAAAAATACAACATTCTTAAAAGGGTCATATGATGCGATTTCAATTTTTCCTTTCTCTTTGGAGTGTTACAAGCTCTTGGTGCATAAAGATCATCTGTAAAGTTGCACAGATTAAAGTCTCAAATCCAAAGAGATGATCACAAATACAGACATGGTTTTATGTTTTTGTAAAAAGACAGTACAAATTATAATCCGTAATTATGTGCCCACTGGATGCAACAAATGCCGTCGCTCACGGCATCACAATATGGTAAGGGGCGTAACATTTCCGTCTCACGCTTGAGGTATTCGGCCAATCACAACGCACTGGATAGCTGGCCAATCACAGCACACCTCGCTTTTCAGAACGACGAGCTTTGTAAAAATCGACGCGTTTCAGAAAGGCGGGGTATAGAGGAGAAACAATAATGTACAGTATGTGGAAAATAATGTGTTTTTTTAACCTTAAACCGCATAAACACATTTCATTACACCAAATACATACATGACAAATAATGTTCTTTTTTTAACAACATCATATTACCCCTTTAAGAAATCTGAATCCAGCGCCAGGTCTGGAAAAAATATATATTTAAAACATTTTCTCACCTCAGGCCCCAAATTCCAATAATTCTTCTCATCATTCACTGAAGAAAGCGTTACATAATTTCAACTCTGTCACAGTAAGTTTGTAATTTGCATGTTTATAATCTGAATAGGTATATCCTGGCTTTGCACAACACACATTCAGTCCTGTTAGATTCAAAAATACATTTGCGGTTGAATGTTATGGGTCACTAAAAGAATGCCCAATAACAGTGTTAGTTAGCAAATACCGCTATCAGTATTTTGTGCAAATAACTATTGAGCTTTATAAGGACAATATAAAGACAGGTGTGTGGCTTTCCTAATCAAGTTCAATCAGTATAATCAAACACAGCTGGACTCAAATTAAGGTGTAGAACCATCTCAAGGATGCTCAGAAGAAATGGACAGCACCTGAGTTAAATATATGAGTGTCACAGCAAAGGGTCTGAATACTTAGGACCATGTGATATTTCAGTTTTTCTTTTTTAATAAATTTGCAAAAATGTCAACAATTCTGTGTTTTTCTGTCAATATGGGGTGCTGTGTGTACATTAATGAGGGAAAAAAATTAACTTAAATGATTTTAGCAAATGGCTGCAATATAACAAAGAGTGAAAAATTTAAAGGGGTCTGAATACTTTCCGTACCCACTGTAAGTGTAACCATAATTGGTAAAAAAAAAAGACACTGATGGAGCCAGACAGACAATAAACAGAATACATTTCTGCAGTAAAATATAGTAATTTAAATTTTTAAATAAATATAGATGTAATTTTATTCTATATAACCTAGGATGCTGGGTGATTACATATTAGGGACTAAATATTAGTATAATTTGTCATATTAATCATTAAAATTTGTCAAAATTAAATGCTAACATTATTGCGACTGAATTGCAATTCCACTTCCAAATTTCAAACTCATAAATTGAAGTTTTTTTGCTTGTTTGTTTTTAAATGATGAATTTTGCCCAAAGCCTGTGAAATGGGTGAATCCTCATTAAAACCTGAGAGCAGGAAGAGATCAATACAGAGAGAAGGTCCCGTCTACATGACAGGAGTTCAATAGCAGAAGAAGAAGAGGCAGGCAGATGAAGTGCACTCACTTAGGTGGCAGCAGCTCCTTCAGCTCAGGGCAGAGCTCATTGAGCTCTATAGCAAACCTGCTGAAGCCGTAGTACAGCTCATAATCTGTAGGCATAGACCCTGAACACACAAACACAAGAGAATCATCAATGTATGTGGAACATTAGCATTAGCATCACTCTCAAACATCCGACTGCCTACACTGCATTAGATCTGCCCTCTGTTGTGTTGTGTAGGGTCATAACTGCAAATGCTAAATTGAGAGCATTTATTATCATGGATATTTCCTACTGGCCATTAAAGTGTACTTTATTAAATTTACCCATGCACTTTCTACGGTTCTGCCACAGTGTTTGGGTAGTTACCTGTTGGCCCAAGTCGGCCACTTGCTTTTTCTTCTTCACCAGACAAAAATCATACATTACTGTTCAAAAGTTTGGGGTCACTAAGTTTATTTATTTTTTTATTTTTTTACAGTAAAATAGTAATTAAGTGAAATAACATTGTAATATAAAACATTTCTAGAGTGATTTTTCTTGTGAGGCTGTGGATCACTCTCCTCTGCCTCTAAACTACAGTATGTTTTTACAGTAAGAGTGCAATTTGCAACACTGCATGTACCTCTGGTCCGGCCTGAATCGAGCATCTGTTGGTGGCAGCAGCTCCTTCAGCTCAGGGCAGAGCTCATTGAGCTCTATAGCAAACCTGCTGAAGCCGTAGTACAGCTCATAATCTGTAGGCATAGACCCTGAACACACAAAAACAAGAGAATCATCAATGTATGTGGAACATTAGCATTAGCATCACTCTCAAACATCCGACTGCCTACACTGCATTAGATCTGCCCTCTGTTGTGTTGTGTAGGGTCATAACTGCAAATGACTGCTAAATTGAGAGCATTTATTATCATGGATATTTCCTACTGGCCATTAAAGTGTGCTTTATTAAATTTACCCATGCACTTTCTACGGTTCTGCCACAGTGTTTGGGTAGTTACCTGTTGGCCCAAGTCGGCCACTTGCTTTTTCTTCTTCACCAGACAAAAATCATACATTACTGTTCAAAAGTTTGGGGTCACTAAGTTTTTTTGTTTGTTTTTTTTTACAGTAAAATAGTAATTAAGCGAAATAACATTGTAATATAAAAATCATTACTCCAGTCTTCAGTGTCACATGATCCTTCAGAAATCATTCTAATATGCCGATTTGCTGCTCAATAAACATTTCTTAATATTATCACTGTTAAAAACAGTTGCGCTGCTTAATACTTGTATATCTTTGATGAATAGAAAGTTCAAAAGAACAGCATTCATTTTAAAAAAAGAAATAGTAATAGTGTCTTTACTGTCACTTTTGATAAACTAAACAAGTCCTTTCTGATTAAAACTATTAATTAATTTAAAAAAATACTTTTGCTAAAAACTTTTGGTAAGTGATGAGATGTAGGTCCAAAAAAGCAATATCAGATACTGATCTTTTCATTAGTAGACTGGTTAGGATCTCTTTGGTATGATCCACTCACCTCACTTAAAGGGTCATGAACTGAGAAACCAAAATTGCTTTGATCATTTGACATATAAGAGGTCACTGTACTATAAAAACATCCTGTAAGTGTCAGAACTCACAACTTTCTTTTTAGTTTAAGAACAGCTTATACTGAAGCCAGTCTGTTAAAACGACAGCTTGTGGAATGTGTCACTCTATGATGTAATAGTGTGGATAAGCACCGCCTCCACAGAAGATCATCAACGCCTGCTTCTACATCACTGCCTGTTTAGCCCCGCCCACCGATTCACGCATATAGTGTTTACGAGAGAGGCGATGCTGCGAAGACAACAAGACGCTGTGCAGTGCCAAGTTATGGAAAAAATAGCATTTGCTTTGCCTTCCTTCTGATCCCAATGTTAGGAAAGAGTGGATGGACTTTTTTTTTTTTTGATGCTGTGCTGAATATACTGGATATGACAGTAATGTCGCAAGACACAAGTGTGAGTAACTGTTGTTATTACATGATCACTATTGCTTTGTCTGTTAAACAGATCGTTTGATATGAGTATTTATGCTTTTTAAACCCAATCACAGCAGCGTCCATCTGTGAAGGATGTAGGCTGTCAAAGATACACAACTATTAGCCAATCACAGCAGTGGGCGTTTACTTCCTAGTCTACAATCTTCTACGCCAATTCAAACAGAGCGTTCTGATGAGGGGGGTCAAAACAGGACAGAAAGTAGCTTATTACTTCTAAATTATGTTTTTTAATGTAATAATCTTGATAACATTATAAGTAGACCTCAGAAAACAGTACAACATACAAAACAGAGGCAGTCATGACCCCTTTAAGTGAGGGTATTACTTTTGGTACATTTTATATTACATAGTGTGCCAGTCCACTTTCTACTAGCAATTTGCACATTGTGGGTGTTCATTCTGGACCCTGTGAGTGTATATACCTGGTCTCCAGATGCATTTGGCTGAAGGTGGGACTCCACAGTACAGACCCTCATGCCATTTCCCAAACAGTCTGTGAATGACTTTTCCCTCCTGGTCCATCACTGATCCTTGCACCTCACTCACATTCGAACTCCAGTAGTTTCCCTGGACACACACACACACACACAGATTAGGGCTGGGAATCTCTAGACACCCCACATTTAGATTCTGATTCGTGATATGATTATGAAACAATGTGCACGTGGCCTTCTGTTGCAAATATAGAGCGGATATAATTTTACTTATGCAAAAGTGACAGTAAAGACATTTTAAATAAATGTGTTCTTTTGAACTTTTTATTTACAAAAGAATCTGGAAAAAAGTATCATGGTTTCCACAAAAACATGACAACTTTTTTGAACATTGATAATCAAAAACGTGATATGATTATGAAACAATGTGCACGTGGCCTTCTGTTGCAAATATAGAGCGGATATAATTTTACTTATGCAAAAGTGACAGTAAAGACATTTTAAATAAATGTGTTCTTTTGAACTTTTTATTTACTAAAGAATCTGGAAAAAAGTATCATGGTTTCCACAAAAACATGACAACTTTTTTGAACATTGATAATCATAAAACCTATTTCATAATTCCTAAATCATTTAAAATGATTTGTAATTCCATCACAGGAATAAATTACAATTAAAATATATTCAAATCAAAAACAGTTCTTTTAAATTGTAATAATGTTTCACAATATGACTGATTTCACTGAATTTTTGATCATATAATTGTGAACATACTGTAAGAACCTTCTTTCAAAAACATAAAAAATATATATATTACCAACCCCAAACTTTTGAACGGTAGTGTACATTTAGTATAGAGTTCATTACACTGGTTGGTTGTTTTCTTTCAATGTGATGTGTGGAAAGACAACTATAAGTTCATCATTTGTAGATTTATTTACCATATAAAGCCCAAAACTGTCAGTCTGCTTTCAAAACACTGCTCTGTTCATTTGAGCATCCACAGTGTGAGATTACACATTTTACCATACAAACAAAGTACAATAAAGACTGCTCATCCTTTTTTGGCTGTTCAACTTATCTGAAAACTCGACTAGTGTATGTTAGTTTGCACAAACACCACCATCTAAACCACTGGTTCTCAATCGATTCAAAGGCCCTCCTATTTAAGCTTCTGCAGAGCCGGCGCCAGAGCAGCACTATAGACGAGGCGTCTGAAGTAATGAAACGGGGCGATGATGTAACACAAAGGATCCCCAGCTAGTGGACCATTCACATATTCGTCGTGGGCATAAGCAAATCTGTTATTACTACAACTATGAAACTAAAAAGCTACTAAACAGTTTTCAGATGATTAATGAACTGAACTGAATTGAACTGAATAATATTGCTACATAAGACAAAAAGAAAAATTGCCCAGGCCAACATATTAAACGATAATGAAAATAAAAATGAAATAACAAAAACTTTGACTCGATATTCATGAAACAATATAAATAATTATATCATGCCGGCCCTGTACTTGTCTTTTAATAAAAATAAACTCAAAAATATGATGTCAGTATAATGTACATCTTTATTTTTGGTGTTTTTTTATAATTTTAATTACAATTATTTTAACATAACTACATTTTTAAAAATTGAAGACTAGTGGCCCCCTAGTGGTTGAGAACCATGGACTTACCCATTTGTGAGATATATATATATGTATATATATATATATATATATATATATATATATATATATATATATATATATAT